TACATAAGAATCTTTCATATTTTTTATATTTATATTTTAAGCTTTAACTAGAAAATATGATTTGACCATTTAACTTTATACAAATTTTACAGAAAAAATTAAGTTGATAAAAAATATATATTAGAATTTGTCTTGGCGGTGATGGTATCATGTTAGGTGTCCTCTCTGGATTTAGCAGAACTTCTTAATCTCAAATTCATTTGGCATAACACACTTGGCATAATCCTCTACTATAGAATATTTTCAAAAAGTTAAGGTTCCGAGAATGAAAACTTCCATAATGTAACCCAATTTGTGAAAAAAATCCCAAAATAACCTTATATCACGTACGCAGCGGAAGTTATTGCAGTACAGCAAAATCATGTACTGAAGTTTTATAGAGGATATAAATATCTATAAAAAAGTTTGCAATACCATATGTCTTACTATTGCAGGTATGTCACAACTACACACCTCCTGCGGTTTCACTCGCGATAATATGAGGAAAAAGTTTATAGTGAATCAAACTTAAAATCTGCTGTCGCAGACTTTTTTATAGGGGAACAATTCTACTATACATGATTTTTGTGTGACTTGAACTGTTTACCCCGCGCACGCAACGAAAGCTCACAAATGGAATATTTTTACCCGTTTTTGCAACATCTTCCGATGCTCCGCTCCTTTTCGTCCTAGCGTGATGTTTTATAGCCTTTATAAAGGCACTATCCATTACAATATTTTTTTTTAAATCGGACAAGAAGAGACTTATGAAACGCGATGTCACCCGACGCCACGCCACGCGTGTTGAGTCAAATCAAAATGTACTAATTTCTATGATCAGAATCACATTAGATACAACTGACGCGACGCGATGCAACGTAGAAAATACTATCATTAGTACAATATTATGAGTGATAAAAGTGATGGGTGTGTATAAACCACTGCGTCCGAGATACATTTAATAATAAGGGCATGGACCAATAGAAAGGAGGACACACTTTTTTAACAGCAGAGCAATGATGCATTCTATACAACGGGTCCTAAACTACTCAACAAAATTTTCACTATCAGGTTAATATTTTTTCACGGAAGGTTTGTAGTTATATGAAGAAAGTCGTTGTGTATAATACAAGCCTGAGAACAAAAACTATATACAGCTCTACACCGAAGCGAAGCGAGGACAGGCGACTAGTCTTTAAATATAATTATTGTTTGGCCAGCTGAATTCACAGTGGCACACTTTTAAGGTGGGTGTTTTTTTTCTGCATACTTTCTTTATGTAGACTGTTAATTAATTGCGATAGATTCGGTGTTTGTGGTCAGCTGATTAGATTAGGTTAGTGTAGTGACCAAAACTTAGCCAGTTACATGATAGATCCCTACTCAATCGATAAACAAAACAAGGAAAAGTTTCATATTTGCATGCCAAGAGACGATTCTGTCGGTGAACTTCCTGCGATATGATGGTTCTGATTTTTTATTATTCTGGTTACTATTAATTTATTTCTGAAGATTATTCTGGCTTAATAAATTGTGAGTTTTGAATGTCTGATAAAGGAGTGAATGCCAAATGATTTTCTGTGAAATGAAGTTTACGCCATCCGCTGATATGCATAACAATATTATGACATTAAAAGTTCCAGGATAAAAAGTACCGCTAGAGGTTAGATTCAAACTAAGGAAAGAAATAAAAAGTTGTGTGTTCATATTAAGTTTTTAAGACAGAATAGTTACCCTACTCGCACCTGAATTTAACACACGCAATCTGTGAGGTACGAGCTTAAAAAGGGACCGAAATATGCCATTAACGTTTATGCAAGGCCATTCTTGGAGGCCTCGACTCTCATAATGCGGGCTTCAAGCGATAGTGGTACTATCGGTTAATTTATGACAGGACCTATTAATTTTGCTGAGAATTTGAATAGGGGAATTAGTTGAGGCCGGACAGTGTTAATGTGTTCGGGTAGATTTGTTTTAAAAGTTTCACGCTTGGGGCATTCGCTGTGAAAGTTTTGCGTAATGATGATGAAAGTTTGTTGAAATGTATTCATACAACTTATTCGTCGACGGTGTATTCGGTCCGGTGATATTCAAATTTATATTTCCGTGAAACATTAAAAACCAGCCATATTCGTCATATTATGAGAGGTGCACAATGTTCATGTTAATTAAAAAAAACTCACATGCTTGTCGGTACTCGTTACTGTAAAATGCATTCCAATTTTTTTCAGCTTCAATCACAGCGGGAGGTTTCATGTGTATAGTGGTCTCTACCTTTTGACTAAATTTTTAATCAAATTATAGTATGGGTATAACACTGATGTTACTGTTAGCGGCGTCAAAAATCTTTTAAGGACTACAAGCTTTGTACAATAACTTTACGAGATATTAAACAACTATGATTGTTTAAGTAAGTAATTTAAACTATTAAAACAGAAAGGCACGAAGACATTTATTCACATTACAGTACAGCATGACACGGCACGGCAGAAAATATTTTTGAAGTGAAACGAGCGTCACACGCGAATACATATATATACATAAGGGTGGAACCAGTTTTAATTAATAAACAACTTATGCAATGCGTCTTTGCCAAGAACTTCATTACCATACACCTATACGTAGCCATGTATTTCTCTAAGAAGACGAAGTTTCTCGCACGAAATGTGTGCGATTTGTGTAGCCCTAGTATTAGTGAACGTTTACAGCACGAAAAATCTGCTTTAAGTTTTGATCCCAATCCTATACATCAAAATAAATCCTATACCTAATCATTTTTGGAAGTTTGCAAAGTGAATGAGTGCGATACTAATTTTAATGATAGCCAATGACTCTTGAGTGTGATACTTATTTTAATGATTAGCGATAGCTAATGCCACTTGAGTAAATACTTTGGATAATTCCTATTCTATCCTATCCTATTAAATGAAAACTAATAAATCTAAAATAAGTTAAAAAAAAAACACGAGAAAGTTTCGAATTTTATTTATTTCCTCAACGAAACAGCCGATACATTGTAATTCCTTTTTTATTTACGTTTAACAATCAAATATTTACTGGGATGGAATCGCAAAGAGGAAGGAAAAACGAGTAGATATTCGGTTCAAGGCTTTGTCATTTGCTTTATACAAAAACAAATCTAATTCAGTTGATTACTCTGTAACAAGATAAGAATTCAGATAATCAATAAAACAATTTTTTGGTATCTTAAGGAATGAGGTTAAAGTAACGTCCATTTTATTATTACATTCAATAACAACCAAACTTTAATATATATACAAACCGATGACATATGAAAATTGTGTGTTATGACTATCAAGATCAAACAGTATAAATTCATCCAATCAAGCCATGCTTAAGTGTTCTTGATATTGAAAATGATAAAGATATCAAAACAAGAAATTAGAATATCAAACAGTAATACTTAGTAATTTAGAAGATGGGCTTTATATATGTTAATAATGTTCAAATAATATTTTTAAAGCATTCAATTTTACCGATCATGGAGAAAAACTAAACATCCAGTAATGTTTGACAATTATCTTTGATTCCTAAACTAAACTCATTTAATTTCCTTTATTGTTAGTAACTTCACACAATATCTTATGGCTATATTTGTTGATTCCTGGACGTAACAGTTAGCACAGGTTTAATGTTCCTGCGATCATCCCAATTTCAAATTTATCATTAACGAATAAAAAAAATGTTATCCTGATAAATTTATCGTTGTCAAAACTATGCATTAGATACATTAATGTCAACTGTTCTAAAAATATCTTTCCGGGCATCACAATAAAAAAAAACCAATGCTGACACAAAGCTAACTATGAATTGCTTCGTTTATTTAATACGACGCCACTTGTCTAGAAGTCTGATATGGCAGTTTCTGCAAAATATTTACAACAGAACCTTATGCTACAAGAACAGTGAAAGGTGTTATCTATTTACACAGTAAACCGTACAAAACTGTTGTCCGACGCAGCAGACGTGGTTAATGAATATCATTACATTACAAAGGTACATGACATATTACAATTGTTTTTTCATCCCACCACCTCGGAAAGTGTAATTTTGCGCTTCGAAATCTGGCTGGAAAATTCTATTTTATTCGCTTGAGCGGCAAAGTAGATTTGAATTTAGAACATCACATATAATGAGTACTCAATATAATTGTAAATTCAAAACGTCATTAAACCTATTTAATGTAACCTCTATGGTGCCAAATTTATGATTAGAACTTTTTAAATTGTGAAAAAATTTAAATTTGGAACCTTCTTGGTTTCTTTGTTTTATTTGCGTGCTTCGCGCCATTCTAGTTTTTCACGTTTTATTGCTTAAATATTTTGTCATTATAAATTGTTTTCTTTTTCATTTTGTCATTTCCTCGCTGAGGTGGGATGAAAAGTTACGTATTGCACTCGAGTGGAAAGATTTTTCACCTTGTGCTCGTTTGTTTCCCTCGCTGACGCTCAGGATTCTAATTTAGAATCACTCGCTGCGCTCGTGATTCAACTTTAGAATCCTTCGCTTGCTCGGTCATCCAAATCGAGCACGCGGTTAAAAAGGAACTTTCCACTCTTGTATAATAAATAACTATTATCTGTTGATGGGAATACTGTAAATACTCTTAAACAAGTTTAAAGCGCGTTTATGAACCTACAAACATCGACATTTAAAACTACTACCCCTTTTACTATAAAATCTGATCAAATAAGGTAATTATAATTATTTAAGCATGTAATTGCTTGATGTTTAAATCTAAAGAAAATATAATTAGAAATAATGCCAGGCGGACCAAGCAGCAGACGGGACTCGAACCCGTACCCTTTGCTATCCGGGCGAATGCACTGACCAATTATGCTTCCGCGCCCCTGACGGCCGCGTCAAAATTCTTCTAGCCATTCTTAAGCTGCAAAGCAGCACCATCTCTTCGCATTGTAGCTAACTCACAATGGTCAGTGCATTTGCCCGGATAGCGAAGGGTGCGGGTTCGAGTCCCGTCTGCTGCATGGTCCGCGTGGATTTTTTTCTAGTTATATTTTCTTTACAAATAAGGTAAGACAAAATGCTACAATATTTTGTCCATTTCATACAATTATCATTCTTTAGAGTGGGATAGGTTCTAAAGTATATTTTCTGCGTAGATCAAATACTTTATACCTAAATAAATAATCGACATATATTTTCTGAAGAATGACTGACTATTATTATGATACAACCCTTATTATTTTAAAACGCACCTTTAAACCCATTTAAGAATAACTTCTTCTTTGCAATTAAATCTTCACCAGTGAAGCAATGTACTATGTGATTTCTGTATAGAATTATCTTGAAAATTCAATTAACAAAATTAAAAGTAATACCTAAGAAGTAATATTTACCTTTGGAAATATGTATTTCGATATATACAGTGTCAATGATATTAAATAAAAAAAACATATAATAACAGTGATGACGTGTCCTTAACAGCAGACTGTTAATAAAAGCGCTAAACAATACTTACAGTCTACGATCAAGAGATATTATTTTAAATTCAACAACCTTGAGTTTCCTCACGAAAACCTCACGACCACTCATCGATTTTAGCACTTATATCATCACACTAGAGAGTGGCTCTTGTTCAACATTAGTTCTGCACTGTCAGTCATACACCTCAGCTGGCTTATCTTCTTACGTTAAAGTGTCAGTCACTCACTGTTTAAGTCGTTTTACTATTAAGACGACCGTTATAAGAACTGTCCAGAATGTGGGTAGTTTTGCTGCGGCGATTGAGCGGTGGAGAGGAGGCCAACCCTCACTCCAATCCTCCCTCACGCCAGCTTCTGGTCACATTGTGGTCACCATTTCTGAAATTTGTGTTTCCTTTAATGACCTACTTAATTATTTATTTATGATGATCAAAACAGATATTGCATGGATTAGAAAATTTAGTGTGCCATTAAAAATCGCCATTTTTTATACGCTGAAATTAATAATATGAACTGATATAATTTGCTTAATATTCTTTGATACTTATCTTTTGATTACTTACCAAGGTTCTGCATTTGGTGTTGGCTGAGGACGATGTACGGATTCTCCAAGTCTGGGTCTTGGAGAACTCCTCGATGTAAGTGTTCCAGATGACTTTCACTATCATCTTAGAAAAGAAGAAATAAAATATTAAGGACTACTTATAACAGCCAACGTCGAGAGAAAGAGTTTTTTAAATCAATTGCAAAAGATCTCCCTGATCGTTAGTAAGGATAGGTGTTCCTCTGGGCTCTATTATTGGTCCTTTCTTCTTTTTAATTTATAAAAATTACCTACATTACTTTGTAAGGGATAATCATGAGATAGTATTGTGAGCAGATGATACTTCACTTTTATTCAAAATTAAAAGAAAGCAACCAGTTATTGACGACGTGAACAATGCCATCTCTAAAGTAGTCCACTGGTTTAATGCTAATAATTTACTTTTTAATGAAGGTAAAACTAAATGTATTAAAATTTTATTACTCAATGTAAAGCAGACACAAATAGTCACACTATCAAAGATAAGAATATGGACCTTGTGGACACTACAGTATTTTTAGGCATTACAGTAGATTGGAAGCTTCAGTGGGGCCCACATATTGAGAAATTGTCGAAGAGACTGAGCTCTGCAACCTACGTAGTAATGAAGATACGCCAAATACCTGACGTAGAAACTGCTCGATTAGTTTATTTTAGCTATTTTCATAGTGTGATGTCGTACGGTATTTTGCTGAGGAAATTCTGCCCACATTCAAACTATTTTTGTGCTGCAAAAGCGGGCTGTTCAATCAATTTACAATCTTAAGACAAGCGACTCTTTAAGAGAAAAAATTTAATGATTGATCAAAACTTAAATGAATGATTAAATAAAAATTTAATGTATTTTCGAAGAAATATTACATATTTCCTCTAAATAGTGATAAGTACTCGTTTAGTACTAGAAATAAAAATAAATTAGCTGTACCAATTACAAGGCTCCACAAAATCAATAATTCATTTAAAGGTCTTTATGTACGCTTATAAAGTCCCTAGCAATATCCAAAAATTAAGCGTCAATAATTTGAAAACTACCATTAAAGAGTTCTTATTAATAAAGCCTATTATAAAGTGTCTGATTATATTTCAGACTTTTTTTTTATATCTGTCGTAACGTTGGAAAATTTAACTGATCTCTAATTAAAATTAAAACGGGACATTGACCAGGACTCAAACTCCTTGATATTGTCCTTGGCTTTCATACGCCAGTGAAACATTTTCCATTAAATAAGCTTCGCTGCTATCTGAGATGAAAAACACGCTTTGAAATTTTAAAAGTAATATCTTTGGGATAGCCAAAAATTAATCTACAATTTACGACATATTTTTAAGGCTTGGAACTCCGACTACTACAATCAAGCATAAGGCTGTGAAAGCATCAATAAAAACTTTGTAGAATTGTTTTTAAATGTAGTGCAACCTACATTGCAACATGGTAATCTGACTCTAAAACTGATAATATCAGAAAGTTAAGAAAGTGGTCGGTAATTTTTTTTTAATTATATTTCAAATGTAGTAATGTAAATGTGTCATACTTACATGGCAACAATGTAGTCGTTGGCGGTGGTGTCGTAGTCGTCGTTGTAGTCGTCGTCGTAGTTGTCGTAGTTGTTGTAGTGGTGGTCGTGGTAAGCACTATTCGAGAATAAAAAATATATACGAGAGAACATAAATTTCAAGCAAAAGTAAAAGAGTTTTTGACGCCATTGCATTTTGTGAGACAGTTCTTTACTTTGAATTTTGATCCATAGCGGCAAATTTTATATTTTGTTTTAAATGAACTTGCTCAAATTAGAAGCAATTATTAATTTACAATTACATTGAAATTTTTATTTTAGTTCATTCTAAAAAATCTTACTCGAAGCCAAACAACCCATAATTCATTAGAACATGTAACATCAAATTTTTAAAGCAAAAACAAAAAAATGTACTACATACGAAAATAAGTACCTAAATCACAAAATTAATTTTGATCTTACTGAACTTAATAAAAAAGAACAAGTAGATAATAAATGTCTATCAAATAACGAACAGCACATATAATCCCTTTACTTCGTAATACTCACAGTGCAAAAACAATTCGGCTTGGGATTTTCCAAGGGCGTTCTCCACGTGACATCTATACGCCCCCGCGTCTTCAATAGACATATCTGACACAAGGAGATTCAGAGTATGACGGTACCCGCGCGATCCCGCACTGAGCTTGTATTTCGAGCCTGTACCAGTAAAATTCGATATAAATTATCACATAATCACTTGTTACAATCTAATCTACGGTAGATTATCTACCTACATGTTTCTCTGCGTGGAGATTAGTACTGTCTTTTAAATCAGAGTATGCTTCTTGTATGTCATTTGTCATATTTTCTTTCAGCTTTTTCAGTGGAATTGAAGATGTTCTGAGAATATTGTGTAATTTACAAATTGACTTGACCTTAACATCAATAATACCTTAATTAAACAACCTTCAGGAAAAGTAGCTATGACTTTTCATATGTTCTAACATAGTTTAATGTTTGATTGTTACTTACATTTGTATATTGAAATATTCATTATCATGTAATTATGATTAGTTATGTTTATTTATGATTACTATAGGTTTGCTAAATATATTGTTCGTAAAAATAAGAATTTTTGTACAGGATATACTCGTATATCGACTTTTGATTTTTGATTTCTATATTATAATTATACATACCGTTAATGAGCCTCTGTTCTCCATTCAGAGTCCAATAGAACTGCGGTGTGGGGTACCCTTCGGCAATGCATTGAAGAGTGACAGCTCCCCCAGCGGGAGCCCTTAAAGCGACCCTACCAGCCCACACTGCTGGCGCAACTGAAACAATAGGGAAGTAAGGGAACACTGTTTTTTTTCAATTAGGCGTCCAATAGACGGTAGGTTTTGCTGTCAGTTTGCTGGCAGTCAAGGTTATGACTAACCTGTCGTTTAATGTAGTGACTAATGACTTTTCAGACACGGGTGGTGACTGATGATTTTTCAAACATGACTGATGAAATTGACTGCCGGCTGCAGGAGCGTCTAATGGCTACCTTAGATTTATAAATATATTATCTCGTTTAATGCATAAAATAACAATATAAAATAAAATCAGATTTCATAAAATCAGTCCAGACAATTTTGAGTTATGTATTCTAATTCTAACACAGTTTTTATTTTATTTAAACAAACTAGCGCGTGCCCTTGACATCGTGATTATTTCACCACTAAAATCTAATTACACTATATTTTTCCGTGGCGCCACTCGTCTGAGAGGCATTTCACGTGAACGAATATGTCCTGTCTCCGATGTTGTGATCATGGTGTTATGGCTGAAATCAGAGACTTCAAAGACAAATAGTTTGACGTGAAAATGTATCGTTGTTGACAGTGTAGACAGACACAGCTCAAGTTACCTTATGGTCGTAGTAGATATGAATACGTAATCGTAATATTATTATCATCTCGTCTTGGACAAGCTCGTGTCCCGAGGAGATCACATTATGATTCCGATTAGTGTGCGTTTTAGTAGGTAGTTTCATACAAATAATACTGAACTCTGCCGTGCTTCGGAAGGCACGTTAACCCGTTGGTCCCGGCTGCATCTTCAGCCGTTAGCCAATCCGCACTGGGCCCGCGTGGTGGGTCATGGCCCAATCTCCCTATTCCATCCATAGGGAAGGCCTGTGCCCCAGCAGTGGGGACATTAATAGGCTGATGATGACGATGATGATGAATACTGAACGGCTCGAGTTGATAAGGTGACGGTCCTTTTCCGAGTTGGTATAAATATACCAAATATATATTTAGAGGTCGGACCTTTAAACTTACAAATTTTACCAAATAACTTTGAACTTTATAAAGTTTTAGTGGGTATAAGATTCAGCATATATTGATGGATGAAATTTTAAAGCTGATGACGCAAAACTTTATTACAGGATTTGCTTAATTTTACATTAAATGTGATCTTAATATGGACTTAATATGGACGGATGAACACTTATAATATTTGTCAGTTGGCATCAACTCATTCGTGCTTGTTTGCCCGGGCCAGGCGGATCGCTTAAACACGAATGAGTTGATGACAACTGACAATTATGGAAAGTGTTCATATTAAAAATATTTCGATGCAATAGATTATTCAAAAATTTTGAAACCTAGTAGGTATTGAAAATCAATGTGAATCCCTCGCTGCCCGAAATGGCGTCAGCCATGCCGGTCACTTACTCATAAAACTTACACATAATATTGATCTGGATCCTTTTGCTGACAGAAGGCGGAACACCATTGGTAGCAATACACAGATACGCCCCCGACGCCGCTCGATCCACTGCTGTGAGGTTTAGCCAATCCCCAGTCCACTTAGAAACTAAAACAAAAGATATAACATTATTATTAAATAAGCCGTGATTATTTAATATTTTTGATTTAGATGAAATGTTGATTGATTTTAATATATTTCCTTTCATTTATAAAATTGCGAAGGAAAAGGGAAATATGGCAACCACAAAAAAAGTTAAAGTGCAAGTCAGACACAAACAATCAACACTGCTAACACAAATTGATAAATAATATAATATATAAATAAGTTTATCTAAAAAAACATAGAAGTGATACCGTGATCATTTTTTATGTAACGTTAGGTTTACTGTCCGCTCGATTAGGCAACTATCCCTTTTTTGAAAGGTCGAATAAAACTGCATTTACTCAAAACCAATATTTATCAACTTTACAAAAATATGCTTAGTAAGTACCTACTATGAAAGATAAAGGACCTTCTATGAAAGATTGATATACATAATGCATCATTAACAATAAATAAAAATATGGATTATAAATAAAGTATTTATTTGACGTTGCGGGTTACCTACAATGCGAAGAGATGGCGCTGCCTTGCAGCTTAGGGTTAGGATAAGTTTGACGCGGCCATCAGGGCCGTGGTAGCATAATGGGTCAGTGCATTCGCCCGGATTACGAAGGATGCGGGTTCGAGACCCGTCCGCTGCCTGGTCCGCGTGTTTTTATCTAGTAAAACTTTTCTTTAGATTTAAAAATCCATATTTTTCAACAATAGAGCTTTATTACTTAAATGAAAGTGGGGAAAATTTCCGGCTATTAATTTGCAAATGACAAATTCAAAGCATAAGGTAATGTTGTGAATTTGCAAATTAATCCATTGACAAAATGTCTATTCTAAAGCGAAGGAGCTTAACAATAAGTATTATATAATATAACTTTAATCTTTACTATCTGAGACTCACGAAGTAAAATTTTTTTTCTGGTTTATTCTCTGACGTCTGAATGGTTGATGTGGTTGTCGTTGACGTCTTAAATTCTAATATTTTTCTTTAATAGTCTTGTAGGCTCTAGTGACTTCGTGATAGAATAACGTTTTTAATGTTGATTAATCATGTATCTATATATATAAAACTCAATTGCTGTTCGGTAGTCCCGCTAAAACTCGAAAACGGTTGAATCGATTCATCTTATCTTGGTATTGAAATGTTTGTTGTAGTCCAGGGAAGGTTCAAACGGCGAGAGAATATGGAAAAATTGCGAGGAAGATGGTAAAAACAACAATTTCATTTTCCAATGTTTAACTGTTCTACCAACTTTCCTGTCAAATATTTGACGTTCGTCCCTTCAGTAACTTTAGCACGAAATAATATCGAATTCTTAACGTATGTGAGTTATTTAGATAAAATATAAAAAAATTATTTGTATACAGGGTGGAAATTTTGAATGCCACCCCCAGGGGAAGTACTCTAAATACTGGAGATAGATAATTTTACTCAAAGGAAACATTCCTTTATTTTTAAAAAGAAATACAACTGCATTCACAGTTTTTCGAAAATTTGCTTGCCACATCCGAGAATCGAACTGGCAAAAATTCGAAAAAATGACAAATATGTGGCATCGATCGATAGATTATTTATTATGGTAAATTTTGATGCAGCAAACAAGACTTAAGACAATGCGTTCTAATTCGCTATTCCATTTTCAAAAATATGTAACATACCTCTTTGCATACCTTATTTAAATTACTGGTACCAAAGAGGTTGTACGGCGCCCCCCCTGACTGAACTTTTTAGTCTGCATTTTAGACATGTGCAAAAAATTCTTTATTCGTTATTTGAATGAATAAATGACGTCGAAGATAATAAAAATACTAACTCGTGTAATCTGGTGGGATAAAACTGCTTTTAGTCTTGTTCCATTCAGTTAAGTTAAGATTTCACTCTTTTCCTTCCATTTAATGTACTAAGTTTGTTAGTAAGATATAATCCCTATGATTGACCCTATAGATCGATGCCATAAAAATACAGGGTGTAATCTTTTCGAATTTTCATTAGTTCGATTCCCGGGTGTGGTAAGCAAATTTTCGAAAAACTGTGAATGCAGTTGTGTTTCTTTTTAAAAATAAAGGAATGTTTCCTGTGGGTAAAATTATCTATCTAGATCATTTAGAGTACTTCCCCTGGGGGTGGCATTCAAAATTTCCAACCTGTATATACCGAGCAATCTCTCTCATATCGTGTCCCTCTCACTACGGGATATTGGCGAAATTTCTGTGTAAAACGGAAACAGCCACAGAACAAAAAAAAAAAACGTTTGCGAGTCCGAAAGTCACTATCAAATGTGTCTACTTTGTGGCGCTGCTGTTCAAATGTCCATACAAAATTTGGCATTGACATTTCGCATTCGCAAACTATTCGAATTCGATATCGGATCGTGCTAAGGGTACAGTACGGTAGACTCGCGTTCACTGAAATTGAATTACATATTAAATTAAGGCTTTTGGATCAACAACATAAATCCACATTACCCTGATTATCGCGAATTTCAATTTTAACTTTCATTTACTCCAAATTATTGGAAGCAGTACGACGTTCGCCGCGTCTGTTAGTATTTGCTAAATAAAACAATACAGTTTTTTCATTTGGACTTTTTGTTGGTAAACAATTTTTATTTATAATAGTTTTCATTTCTCGAAACGTAAAATCCTATTAAACATCAAAGAATATGGTTACAAATACTCCCAAACACGATTATTGGAAGCAGTACGAAGTTTGCTAGAAGCCGGGTTTGCTATTATTTACTTAATAAAACTAAACATTGTTTTCACTTGAACTTTTTGTTGTAAAACAATTTTTATTTATAATTGTTTTCATTTCTCAAAACGTTAAATCCCATTAAACATCAAAGAATACAGTTATAAATACCCACAAATACGAAAATCCAGTACTTAGGTATTTGTTTCTCTTCTGCGAAATCTTAACCGTTTCGTTATGAATCTGGTGTTATTGTTACTCCCAATTCACCAATCCACATTCTGGCATCCATTAATAAATTATTGTTTCCAGAAGAATAGCCAATCCAAACAGCGTATAAGTCAATTAGTAGATAAATCTGATCAAACAATATTGATAGCCGTGTCGTTACTTAGCTGTTATGAGTACATATAAAATGACTACTGAGAACAATAAACAAGAAATCAATAGCGTAACAGCTCGAGATTGTTAAAGTTAAGCATCTTTCGCGTTGGTCGGTAATGGGATGGGTGATCAAAAGTTTATTCTCTCGAGATCCTGCATGTTCTGGAAGGCAAGTGAAAAATCTATTTTTATGGTTGCATCTGCAATCATTTGGGGGGCTCAGCTGCTAATATAAAAAGTATTTTCGTACTTCAAAAGAGAGCCGTTCGCGCCATATATAATTTAAAGGCAAGAGAATCTCTTAGAGAAAATTTTAAAGAAATTAATATTTTAACACAGGCATCCCAATACATTTATGAAAATATAATATATGTAGGAAAAAACTATGACGCATTTGCAAAAAAAAGTCAAACCCATAACTTTAACACGAGATTGAAGAACAAGCTTGCCGTAGTAGGATTGCATTGTTTAACAAAGTTCCCCTAGATCTGATTGAACTTCCACTAACCAAATTTAAATCTCAGATCAAGAATACTCTTATGAATAAGGGCTACTATAAAGTTAATGATTATCTAAATAATTGTAATGCATGGACATAGTGTTTCTTATAATTTGTTTTTTAATGGGTATTAGTCAGTTTTTGTAACATTAATATGGTTCCTATCTAATGCCGCTTCCTATATACTAAATATAAATTTTATTGTAACTATATATCTATATCCTAAATAACGTATTGGAAGGTGACTTCAGAAGTATCTATGAAGTCATTTTTCAACTTGACGGCTCTGTATATATCAATACAGGGAGAAAAAAGCAGCCCTTGCTGAGTTTCTTGCCGGTTCTTCTCAGTACAAGGACTCCCGCCGTAGTTTTGCGAACCGATGGCGTAGCTTCTTGACCTTCACAAGTGCTTATAACAGCCTAGACTGAATAAATGACTTTTCATTTCATTGAAACCCTCTAAATCTTCATTGGACTCGTGCGGTCCTGAATAGCAAATAAAATGATGATGCCTGTATCCTATTGACGCTTGCGGTATCAGGAAGAGAAAAGAGAATATAATAACGATATCTTTTGTCTGCAGTCTTCTGCAAAGCTTGTAATCCTTTTTAGGTAAAAAATTTTGGATCAAGCAAAAAAGCTAATTAAATCGTCTGATTTAGTTCCGTGGGTTATATACCCACAGAGCGACATAAGCACATATCCTTTTGTAGGCATCCGCTTCCTCTGCATTCATTCAACTTCATACACGCTCACCAATTTATGCGGCTGTAAACGTGAAATATATTTTCAGGATATTAACCGGAGCGAAATTGTTAAACTAGGCACAACGACTTAACACAAGACAAAAACTAGCTAAACTTGTTACATTGCTTTCCTTGGAAATTATTTCGGACATTATTGCTCTTTTTGGATTACCTACCTACATTGTGTCCATATTATAGTCATAAAGACAATACAAAAGGACGTTCCTATATTATGTTGGTTTTTAGAAACGTCCTTTTGTATTGGCAACCGAATGTGTTGCGCTCACAGAGTAAATCATAATACCTATTCCGCTACCTATATAAAGACATTAATACCTAACAATATTTACTAATGAACGAGCGTCAAAAAAAAATTTGTATCATACTTCAACCTTAATCCGGAACGGTTTTATCCAAACCCCACCCGCTTTCGTTTCTAGAAAATACGGATCTCAAATGTAGATGCGCATTATTCTTAAAAAATTGGGCTTAGGCTAAGAACTCACGGAGTAGTTTTTATTCGCACCCGTTGCAGGCGCCCGCAGAGCTTTTTTTAACCGACTTCAAAAAAGGAGGGGGTTCTGTGTTCAACTGTATATTTTTATTTCATGCTTTTCAGTTTTGTGCGGCGCTGTTGTGAGAACGCTCTGAAACTTAAGTTTATAACGCGGAGAGCTTGCGAGCGA